AGTTTGCGACTCCTGTATTTAGTTTCTAGTATCATTTCCCTCTTGGTTTGTGAGCAAGACAACTTTGCTTCTCCATTCTCCACTCCACAGCCAAACAAAGGTTAGATAATTTTCATTTTCAATACTCGCATATGTTTCTCTTGGCTTATGAGCATGACCACCCAAGCCTTCAAAACTCCACTCTCCACACCAAAGAACTATTGCTCCCTGCACTGTCCCTTCAAACCCATGCACAATGCACACTGCACCCCGTACTGTCCCATCGCACCCACATCCCATTGCACCTATGCACTGCACCCCGCACTTTCCCATCGCACCCATGCACTGCACCCCCGCACTGTCCCATCGCACCTATGCACTGCACCCCCGCACTGTCCCATCGCACCTATGCACTGCACCCCCGCACTGTCCCATCGCACCTATGCACTGCACCCCGCACTGTCCCATCGCACCCATGAACCGTACCGCACCATACTACGTCCTCCTGCATTGCACCTACCCTCGCCCCAGGACGTATAGGGCCTTCCAGAAACCATGCTCTCATGACTCTTGAATCTAGCTAAGATTCAAGGTTGACATAAGCCTGCTGAAGCTCTGCGCCATCAATTTCCCGAACAAAAGGCCCACAACCAGCTGCGATGAGGGTTGGTTTTTCTCGAAACTTTGGCACGTAAAGCCTAAGCCGTCAAGCACCGTCGCAGCAAGGTTGCAATGAAGCACTACAACACATTGGCCTGCTTAATGTTTTGGTGACTAAACCTCGCTTTTCACAACTCCTGGACACTCGACGCTCGGGCAGGCCATGCTCTCGCAGCGTGGAGCTGCAGTGTGGGAAGGCCATTTTCAAGGCAGAGTACAAAAGCCGTCAAAGGCCTAGGGCCTGTGGTGATCACGCATCTCGCTGGAAACCATTACCGACTCCAAAGGCCTGCACATTGCCTGACCTATTCTGAAGCGTCTCACCATGTCTTGATGAACACTTGCTGAGCTCAATGCATAGAATGCAATTATATAGTTGTATATCCTCCAGCTGTTTGCTTGGGGGATACGAGGTTGGGGTATGTGGGCACTATACATGCTTCGCTTTACTCACGGCACCCCGATTTAACTCTCTCTGCGAAAGGCTCTGGTCGACAAAAAGGCTGCAGCAGTACTTGGTGGTCTTCCCTCCCAGAACAGGAAAATAAGAGAGCACCAAAACATGGTCAAAACCGGGACACCCTGGCTGACATACTTGGGAGATCAACGTACCCTGGTTTGGGGCTCCAGGTTCTGACCCACAGCCATATGTCTCCACACAGCCACCAAGCGACCGCAGCTTCAATCCAACGCCGCTCTTCATGGTCCGGCGGGCGCTCGCCCAATTCGCCCACCTCGTTCATGGAAGAATGGAGGGGAATGTCCGAAATGCCAGGAACCACGGCCAATATTATACTACATTCAAAAAGGGTTCTCATGAGTGTCTCATCCCGCACTGCCTGTGGCAACTGTCGTGGTGTAAAAGGCAGCGTTGCCCTGGAGTCCATGGCGCAGTGCTTTGCTCCAATAGAGTTCGCCAGCCCAAATCAAATTAACAGAACCACTCAACATGAACGAACTGCAGGAGACACAAACCAGAAAAAAGAGAAGAAAAAAAACAAAGCAAGGTCAGTCACTGGCAGCCAGTGCCATGATGTCATGATAGCAGGCCCGGTGGGCCTTGCATGTTGCAGCCTGCGAAGCTTTGGACTGACTGCACATTGCCATTCATGAAAGTGATGTTACACTGGTCACTCAACTCTATTTGGAACACAGGTCTGTGGTGTGTGCCATGTGGCATTCAGTCACCACATGCAAGAAACAGGCCATCGCTTGGAGGCCATCGCTAGTAGGTCGGAGGCCATCGCTAGTGGGTTGGAGGCCATCGCGAATAGGTTGGAGGCCATCGCCATTAGGGTGGAGGGGTAATGGTACAGGTGTGGACACGGTACGAATATTGTGCGGGCACATGACATGCATGACATGTGAGCAATGCTGGCAAAGGAAAAGCCACGAGCGCTGACCGTTTGAGAATCGGCTCAGCATAGCTGTAGCTTGCCGCAACAAGCAATTGACAGCAAGCTCGAGCAGGGCAAACGTTTGCCGCAGGTTTATGACCAACAACAACAACAACTTTTGCACAACAGTCCCCACAGAATGTGTGCTGCCCCGTATAAGACAATGGCCCCGTTAATACATTTAAAAGCTATCTGCAAGTGGCCTGTAGTCAGTGGCCTGCTTGATTCGGAAAACGATAACTGGGCCAATCGCCACGGAAACCAAATCAAGCAAGCTGCCTGGTTGGGTCCAAATGTTGTGGCACATCCCTGGCTGCAAAATGAAAGTCAACCCGAATTCTTCAGTTGGCTACTACGGGACCAAAACACCGTAGCAGCCGTAGCAACAGGCGTGGCAACGAGCCAAAACATGACTGCTGAGTTCTTGAAAGCTGCCCAATCAAGCTCATCAGTCAATATAACTAACACCTGCAAATGGATGCGCACCCTCCACGCGGCAGACGAGGTGGCACATCCTGAAGCACTTCCACAACGTCAGCGAACCCAAAACCAAGCATCCCTTCCATCTGTGTCATCCAACTCGCATCACAGCAGAATCTCTTCAGACTAGATGCATCCTCATCAGGCATGCCACCTGAGCACCAGCAGAAATTGAACAGTTCCAATCAACAACCTAAATCAGCCTAACCCATGAAAAAATAATTACAGTAAGTGGCGAAAAGCTTCAAAGCCTATCAGTCTCTTGGTCATGAGTCTTTATGCAAGGTGGCTGATTTCAACAGCGCGTTCATTTCACACGCAACTCAACTAACATCCGGCTCACTGTCAGCTGGGCCAGCCCCACGGTGAGGCGAACCAGCATGCGGTTGAGCAGCCTGCGGAGAAGAGGATCAGGTATGGCTGAAGTTTGCCGGAATCAACGCTCAGCGTTCGCATGGTCACCAGCCTTTTCAGCCCAAAGCCCATACAAGCTGCCGCTTCGTGAGCGGCCAGGGCTTCATATTGTTTGTCCACATGTGCCGGTCACGTGTGCAATTGCATTGTTAGCGTTTATGCACGGCATGTGGCGACTACAAAAGGGCATCATTAAGGTCACCTGTAGTTTGTACCGATTGACCCCTGACACTGCAACTTTATGATTTCAGCAAAGCATACACTAAACTCAATTACCAATCCATGCCCCCCAAAAAAGAGAACTGCCTAGGGCACATGGAAGTGCCACTCTTCAGGTATACCTGCTTAGAGTCTTAGTGTACCCACTCCGTGCTTCACAGTGAAATGCAGGCTTTCCGTCGCGGCGCCTGCTCCAGCGGCTCCCGCGGCAATCGAGGGCCCAACTTTGGCAATCTCAACACCTTTCCCTCTGGGACCTCCTGCTTCTCACTGGTCTCAGTGTCGTCCTTACAGGAGTGAGGCTCCTCTCCCCCTGCTGTCAAAAGCAAGGGCCATCTAAAAGCACCCGCAATCAATTTAAATGCTTCCGCTTGACAGCTTAGTAACGATTAAAATGATTCAACGGCTTGGCCTTCTCACAAACCCTGCCTCTCTTGCATCCAACATTCATGAAGCATAAAAGCAATGAAAAGCACATATATAAAGGTCTCTCACAAGCCTGCCATGCTTGTCTAAAGTACAAGGATGCTCCACCAGTCCCATTCATTCAAGTCTCAACAGGGGCATCTCCAATCACGTCCAGGTGGTGCCTGGCTTGGAGAAGCCAATTGCAAGAACACCTGAATTTCATGGGCGTCCCATCGACGCCAATTGACCGATGGCCTCTCTGATCGCAGCTTCGCAATCATGTCCAGCAAACCCTGCTCTGGCAGCAGCAAATCTCGATCTCAGCACACAATCACTCACACATCACGTCTCCCTGGCAGCTTCATTCCCTCGATGTGTGGAACTTGCTAGGCTTTCGCCAGGCAACGTGGTGGACGCCCATCAGCAATCCTCGGCCATCAAACAAGTCTCAAACAAGTCATGTCACCCATCTGCAGCAAGTCATTTGCTTCCTCTCTCTCTCTCTCTACCGTTCTGTGAGGTCAAAGCCGGAATGGGACCGCTACCTCCACATCGAGAACATCTGAATTTTGTTGTGTCACAGCGTTGGCTTCTGCCCAACGCTGGCCGAGGAAATGCATCGGATGCAAAGCAAAAGCCCAACCATACACACCACCTGTGAGGCGCTGCTGTTGCTCTCCATGGGTTGAGCTTGCCTAGCGAGTTCGCGAGTTCGAACAATGGCTTGCATCGCCCCGTGGGCATGCTCGGTGAACCACGCACCTAGGCGGCAACCTCTGCACCAACTCTGCATTGCCCTGCTGCCCCTGGCAACATGAACTTGAGGCTGTCAGGCTGTCAGACAAAACTTTGCAAAAATGCACTCCAGCTGCCTCATCACAAGGTAGGCCAATAACGTCACCCATGGACCAGAATATGCAAGCTGGGGGCACTATATAAGCCAAGAATTAAGGAGTGGCAAAGTGGGAGTGAAAATGCGATTTGCAAAGCCTAAACATCTGATGCACATGTCTTCGAGGGACTCAAGTCTCCTCTCACAAGCTGTGATGACTTGATCAAGTATGCTCAAGCCATCTAGGCCAATGAAGTGCCATAAGTTAGGGATGAGATGAGATGGCATGAACTGAAATACTGCGTGTTGAGAAAACAGAGAGGGACCTTGTGTATCCATTTTACACGCCCACAGCGGCCAACTAGTCAACAATGGCTTTTCTCGCTGTTTGGATCTGTTTGGTCTCTGTGGAGGTGATAGCCCAAAGCACAAGTCACATGTGAAAACTGATAGATCATAAAGGGTTTCATTATCGTTTCATGATCAATGCTCACATTCATAACTCGGACGGCAAAAAGGAGCAGGAGCAGGGACAAAGACACTTGCGTTCCCATGCTGCGTTGCCACAACTCATTCAACTTGGAAACAATCCAGGCCACTTGGATCTTGGCTCACTCGGCGCCGCCACAGCCTCGCTCCGGTCGATCCGCTCCCTTTGCTCATTGGCCTCCCTCTGGGCCAGCTCTTCGCGGCCTTGGCAGCTTCGAAGATGAGCAAAACATGTCAAGGAAGTCGCAAGGTTGTTAGCAAAGCTGAGTTTGCCTAAGGGTTCTTCAAGGAGTTCCCTCCCGCTTTGGGGTGGTTCCTTTGACCCTTTGCCCTCCAGCATAGCTACTAGAAATAGCTTCTCTACGGAGCAGTCGCAGCCAGGAGTTGGGAAAAAAGAGCCATCTGGTCCAAGACCTGGTCAGTCTTATGTTCAAACTCAGTCACAGGCTCTTTTCCACGCGTTGCAGCAAGCTTGTCA